CTCGCAGTATAATAGTCGTGATGTGCGCGTTATAGCCGCAACAGGAGATTATGGCACATCCACGATTAACCATATGACCCTGATTCCGCGATATTTTGCATCCTTGCAATATGGAGCGCTGAAAATTATATCTGGACCACCGAACCGCGAAAATTAAATCTTATACTTTTCTTTTTATGGAAAGAAAATTGGAAAATAGTCTAATAATAATTCTTTCAAATAAAAATTATTCCTGCCATTTTCATAAATCAATTCTGGGCCAAGTTTAACTTTGTAGCAATTTATCGCAAAATGTTTCGAATAAAAATCCAATTTTGCGCTAGGGTCGCATGCACATCACGAGCTTAAAACGTCAACGTATGTATATATGATATGTAATGTACATATATATCGTAACTTGCTCCAGTATTCGTTCAATGTAGCGGTCGCATAATACTAAAAGCATTTGCACTAAAAAAAAAAAATAAAAAGAGCGGCTCAACCAACATTGGTTATCCAATTTACAATCAAATTTCAACGAATAGCCACGACAGAATGCACTGCTCAAACTCTATTTTGGCTGACACCGAGTACACCAGATTGCATTCACTCTCTGCATAAATTCAAAATTGATCGTATCGCGGCGTTTATCGGTTATTAAATGTAGTGTTAATCCTTTTAGAACAAAATTGAATATAAAAGTTCCGATAATTATGACGCATTAGATTTATACCTCCGACTTTATTAATTCAGTATTAACAAAATCGGCGCAAAGTATGATTCATGACTTTTGATATAAATGAAGAACATTATCATGCAATGTATTGCAAGGATGTAAAATATGCACTTGTAATTTGAAAGGCATCATAAAATTTATCCATTGATTTATGATCTTTCTTCAGTCTTTTTTACTTATCTATAAGATATTATCTTTAAAGGTAAGTGAGACGATCATTATATAAAGAATATTTAAAGAATAATTTTTGTGGTAAATATAAGAACAAGAAAAAATAAAATCTGATTTTATTGATTATATGTATATTAATATGCGCGCTGATTAAAATACAATACATTTGAATAAATAACTATACACTGAAAAAGTTGACTTGACTAAATCTTTTAACTAAATTACTATTTTGTTAATTGAACATATATTAGTATTTAAGTTAACACGTTTTGTTAAATTTAAATTAAATAAATATATGATATTTAATTTAAAAATTTTTATATGTTCAATTACAAAATATTATTTAGTTGAACAGTTTAGTCAAGTTAACAATTTTTTCCAGTGTAGCTAATATATATATATATACAGATATTATCATTTTTAAGTTATAATTTATAACTGTTCTCAATTTTAATAGATCATTGAAAATTAATAATGCTATATATCGGTACTTATTAAATAAATTTTATATTTATATCTAAGAAATATTTTGCACGGAGATAATTTTTTTTGGAATTTACTCTAAAAATCATGTAATCGTGGAATACTAGAATTTTATAAGAATTTCTCTGATTAATAAAAATATTAATATAATAAATTTTACTATGTACATAGTAAAATTAATCAAGCATATTTTATATCTTACTGTGGTAGATATTAGTATTTTTATTGTGATAAATATTATAATCAGAGAAACTCTTATAAAATTCTTCCATATTGTTCCACGATTATCATGATTTTTAGGATAAATTCTAAGAGAAAATTCTCTTTGTGCGTACTAATCAATTGAGATGTGCATTTTTATATTTAAAATTATTTTAAAAAGTATACAACAAATTAGAACACTGAAAAAAAATTTCTTAATTTGACTAAATCTTTCAACAAATATTACTTTGTTAATTAAACATAAAAATATTAAAATTAAATATAATATATTAAATCCAACAAAACATATATTTGACTTAAATATTAATATATATTCAATTAACAAAATAATAATTTTGTTGAAAAGTTTAGTCACATTAACAATTTTTTTCAGTGAAAGAATATACTGTATTTTGTGCATTTCTTATTTTATTATTACACGAAACATCATCTCTTTGATTGTAATATATAATTTAATGAACACTCTTTAGAGACAATTATTCAAAGCTAATTAGTTAAACGCTCTTAAGTAATGAAAAAATTTGAAAAATTATCTTTCGAGCGAGCTAATTATTAGCGTGAGATGCGCCCTGCAATTTTTCGCGATGAATTTAAAAGAAGTGCGCTTCTTTGTGAGAGAGTCTGGCGAGGAAGGTCGATCAGCCATTGTTGGCTGAGATTTGCCTCGTGAACCATTCTTGACGTTAAACGTGATTTAACGCGAGCGCGGATTTCTTGAAAGAAACGGGATGCACGGCGTCGTAGCTCCGATATAGACTCGGCGCGTTGATAAAAGCAACCCGCGTGTCAGAAAACAATGCCAATATGGATAATGACGGCCGCCCACGTGAGCGCTGCGGTAAATATGAACGAACACGACGATGGGCGGGCGCGTAGAAACAAAGAAAAATTTTCCAACAAAAGAACTCGGGCCGCGAGAAACGCTAGGAAAATTACAAATCCGGGCCGAAAGTAAGTAAATCCAGGGTATTCTTATCGGATCTCGTTTGCCGCATAAATAAATCATTTCTTATATACAATGTATGCGCTAACGCAATTCATCCCCACAAATTCTAAACTGTTATCCTTGCTTCTCAACTCGCTATGAGTTAACTTTTGATTCACCGCGATGTAGTTTGTTTTCTATTAACGAAAAGTTTTCTCTCCAACATTCTCGAGTATGCGTAAAGAAGCTATTGATTCGGCAAAAGTATGCCTTAAACGAACGATGTGAAATGCAATCGAAATCAATTGATTGTGAAAATGTGTTCGGCGTATTCGGGAGGGATGTTTTTATCTTACTTTAACAAAGATGTTACGTTTAACAATATATTTATAAATCTTGTCAATGTGTTGATAAAGAGGATAAAAGACTAAAATAATGTTCAAAAGAATTATATCCAATTCATTCTTTTACCGGAACAACGGAACTAACAATTGATCAGTGATATATATATGTATATACGGGAATGCCAATTTTAAACGTGTTTGGCAAATTGATCTCGTCCGTGTATCCACGCGAATAAAACTCTTCCACCCGATAGAATTTTTTTATAAAGTATACTGTTTGTTTAAATGTAACTTGTTACATTTCTGTCTTTCAATTACAAACTCAATTTTAACAATTTTCGTGCTCTACATATATATACTTGGTATATTTGTATAAAACGAAAAAACATCACGATCTGCATTTAGCCATTTCATCGATAATTACACAAATGATTCTCGTAGTAGTCTATTCACTTGAAAATAAAATTGCGAGTCGTATTCGAACACCAATCAAATTCATCGAAATCTCATCTCGTTCTAACTTTTTCCATCCTCCCGTAAGACATTCCGTTACCGATACACTATCCAAACGATGCCGTTTTTCTGTATCATGTCAGATTCATGAGGGTATCAATTCCCCGATAACATCTACAAAAACATTCGTCGACCCGGCAAACCTGTAACTCGTGTAAACCCATTAGATATCTCAGAGAAAAGGGATGAAAAAGAGAAAGCTGGAAGAGGAATCGTCGGGAGCGGCCGGCATCGCATCGGGGCGCGAAAATCTGCGAGAGGTTTACCAGCAACTAGTGGCGTTAGTCGAAACTCCGAAACCCCTGAGAGAGAGCTCTACAGTCTTCTATAACCTATCCGGCACCTCTTCTTCGTCGAACGAGAGAGAGAGAGAGATAGAGAATTTTGTTCCCCCATTTTCCACGAGAGAATCCTCCCTCTCGTATACCTCGCTTCCGCCACCCTCTATCTCTCTCTCTCTCCCTCTTTTTCCCCCTACCCTCTCTCCCTATATCTCGCACGCCGCGTTCCTCTCGCGCGCTCGCGCGTTCTTCGGCCTCTGGAGCGAGTCGCAGCATCCGTTGGACCGTTCCGGACTTCAGTCCACGTCGAGAACGCGCCACTGTCGGGACCTCGAGGAAGTGACAGTCATCCGGAAGCTCGTGGTCGACGTCGCGTGCACGACACTGCTATCTGTTTCCTGTCGTGTGTCGAAGTTGGGCAGTAAATATCGTCTAATGTTATGATGATCTCTCCGTAATCTCTCAGCGATAGATATATCCAAAGATACACAGATAAAAAAAAGAAATTATTCGAGGTAAAAGAAACCTCGCATCATCTCGCATATTAATATAGATTCTTTTGATAAAAATTATCCACGTATAACCGAGGAAAAAACGAGGAAAATTTCTTCGCATTAACATCGTGCGTCTGTTATACTCAAGCATTAATATACAAATCGATACGGTTCATCATCGATCAACGCTGGTACCAGTCTTCCTTGGTCCCACGCAAGTCACGTAGTGCTGGGTCGAGGCACGAGAGAGAGAAGCCGGGAAAGTTTCCACGAGGCAAAGTCGAAGGGTGTCCAACCGGTTCTCCAGCCGAGGGGTAGCTACGCTTAGCAACGATAAAAAGGAAACCGACTCGGTGGATGCCCTAAGGGCTTGAAGAAATCCCAGGCCAGCCGGTGGGTGGCCGGTTTCGGATGCCGACACGTGCTGAGCGCGATTTTTGAGAGTGCGGCGGAGCACAGGGGACAAACGGAGCCACGAGGGCCCGTGGGAAGAGCTGAAGAAGAGGGAGCTCGGACCGGGCGACTGCCAGAAGTTGTTGCCCAGTTCCGGCGAAGGGGCGGACGTCGGGCCCGGATGCTCGCGAGGACGAGACGCCGGAAACGCTGTCACGTTGGAAGGGAAAATATTGACGGCCGTCAACAAGTTCCTTACAACGTCCCCTTTGGTTAACAAGGTCAAGTTGCTGATGGTGAGTCTCCACTGTTTCTCCTTCCCTCGCTCTCCCTCTCTGTCTGTCTCTCTGTAGCTATTTCTCTCTCGTCGACACATACCGCGAACGTCCACGCGGCCACTGACTCGGCCCCCGTTTAGTTTCTCGCTTTCTCGACGTAGGAGGACACATGTACTCGGCTCTGCTTTGAATGCGGTTAGTTCGCAGTTGTCGCAGAGCAGTCGTCGCGATTGTACCTTCCGTCTATCCGGAAAGTTTCAGGGTGACGATGTTCGCCGTTACAACGAGGAAGGTACAAGATATCGACATGATTCCGATTTCTGTTTCATGGGGAAAATTGATTTTTCAAGCTAAGTTGCTATCATAGACTTCACAATTTCCACGAAATATCAGCCAAATTCCGAATTTTTAATTATTACGATGTAAAATGTCTTGAGTTTTTCATCTCGTATTACGGCACTTAATACTTTTGCAAATTTTGGTTTCTCAAATACGACAGAGTTTAACCAAACATTGTTTTAAGCCCGATATATTTTACTTTATATTATTATAATTATTATAATGAATATTAAACATCATATTTGGCATACAAATTTCATTAATTTCATTTCTTGAAACGTGACCAATAAAAATGGGCACACGGCTGATTATTAAGAATTCCTAACTTAGTTCACGTTTTGCATAATTTACGATTATTCATTGACGTACTCCTTCGGAACTTAACCACCCCTGCTTCCCATCATCATGGAGAGCTTGACGGGCCATGAAGCATAATTGGCGATCCACTTTGCACCACCGTTGATCGTGTCGACGTGGCACTATCAATTGAATATTTGTCACCTAATATCTATTTATTTTAGAACAGTAGGATTTGTTGAATTTTATTAGTAATTTGCCTCGAAACTATATAATTTTATCTAAGTAGAAATTTACAAGTGCTATATTTTTTTCGACATTGAAAAATTCGATGAAATATGCAAGGGTAATAAAATACGTAAATGAGATAATTGTTGAGAAATCTCCAACACATTTTATATTATAATTTTAATTAGATTTTTTCATCTCTTAATAAATCATTAATTGCTTATAAATGATAATTAGAATTGACAGAATCGAAATTTGTACACAAGTGGAATAATCTAGAAAATAATGTAAAAAGCAATCGTACAATTTTTCAATTTTAATTAACTTGCGACTTAATTATTTTAGTAGAACACTTTATTATTTTGATGGAACATTATTACTAAGAAGCACTTATGCCCGAGCAATAATTGCTTGGTTAATTCCCGGAGGACAAGGGTTATAGTCCTGTGTGAGCGTGGTACGGTCTATTCTCGGAAATTAGAGACATACTCTGCCTCAGATATGCATATTACAATTATACCCTCCTCATTTGTGTAATTTTCGTCTTTGCAAATTTTTCTTTTTAATTTTCTATGCTTCTTACAGTATTCTAAAAGCGCTTGACATTAATCCGAAAAATGTCCCTAATTTAACTTGGGATCAGATATCTAACAACTTAAGACTGTTAAGAAGAACATTTAACTTGTACTACACTTTGACGTGTATATATTCGCTTTGACAATTTACTTTCCCAATTTCGGGGAACTTAAGATGTACTATATCTGCTCCATTTCTCATTAAACATTTTTAAAGAATAAAGTTATTTTCTACTATAAACACGATATGATCCGTAGAAACTCTGGGCAATTAAATGTCGGATTTTTCCTTTATATTATATGAAGTAGAGTATTTATTCTCGACCCTAGCATTCTTTCTTAAGTAAGTTTTCCTTTTATATTTAGTAAACTTGAAATTCCCGATTTAATACTAAATGTCATGTCGTAAGCAGAAATACCGCATTTTATACTCGTCAAAAATTTACATTTCACTTTTCACTCACGATGTTCGCATGATTGTCACGCTAAAATAACGCATAATTAAATGCATTCCTGCATATATTCGTTTACACACAAATATGCTTTCGACGATCGGTGATGCGTGATTACACATGCCTGCGTGATATTCTCTATCGCGTCATTGTAATCCGAAATAAAAACATTGATATGAGCCAAATACCTATTTTTTTTAATAAGTCTATTATTTACCAACAGCCATAAAATAGCCTACATATAAATACAAGTTAGATGCAGTTAGTAAGTAAGAACATGGAAAAAAAGAGAATAAATAAATAGACGCAAGTACGCATTACAACACAATACATATACATTTGAAGGGAAAAATCTTCGCGTTGGGTTTTTTCACCCTTATTATTGACATACAACAAAAATATTGAAGGGATATCCATGGAATCTTGCAAAGCAGGAGGGACATAATCTATCACTTAAATTCGCAAATTGAAAAGTATATTTTGTCTATTCGATATAACACGAATATTTCAGAGTGCGTGCATGAAAGTTCGCAAAAATATATATATTTTCAAAAATTGTCAAACACAAATAAACTTTAATATTATGTCATAATATTTAAAACTAACGTGTAATTGTTGCAAAAATCGAAGCAAGTACGACTCGTGTTCTTCTCAGGCGAATATTATTTGAATTAAATTAAATTTAATTCAACTGAAATCTTTGTGAATAAAAATAGATGAATAGACAGAAGCATTCATTATACATTAATGTTCAAACTCTCAAATAACGTATTAATATATATCAAATAAATAATAACAGGCACAAATGTGCTTGATAATGAAAACTCTATTTAATATTAGATCAAAGAAAAATGAATGTGGGTTATCGATGAATTTTAAAATAATTTGACCACATTACGTGCTATAAAATGAGGATTGCTATTCGGGAAAAAAGAGAGGAAATAAGGGAGAAATAGATTTAAAATATCGTCTAGATACGAAATAAGAAATTTGTACCGCGCATTAATGTTAACCGCGAAATCATTACTACGAACGCATCGATTACGAAGCTCAAAGCGGAGTGGCTTGGTTGACACTTGCCTGCGGTGGCGGAACCTCGAATGTATGTCGTTCGATATAATGAATGGAATGCTTTTGATCGGATGGAGATATTTAATTAGTCCTAATTAAAACTATAAAGTGAATTAACTGTACGCGTAGGTTTTAATACATAAACGCTTTCGAAAAGCAATTTATTCTATTATCGTAAATATATACATTTTCAACCTTTATATGAATGATTTAAAAATAATTTATCGAAGAGTTTCTTTTACGAAAATTACATTTGAGAAGTATATCAAAGCATAAAACTCGCATTCTTCATAATTTAAAATTTTCCATAAAGTTAATTGAAAAATTTTGCTGATGCAGATTTGAATGGATCGTCGGGCTTATTTATATTTTTAAATTGAAGTAAAAGTACTAAAGTTAGTTTTATCTACATGTCTTTTTATCTCAAAATGTGTGCACTAAGATACAAATTAAAGTTGCACTCTCCTAATATGGAATAAATTTAGAGAATATGAACTTTCTTATTTATATTTCGCTCATTACATTTTATGTAATTTAAAAAGTACAGGAAAAACTTTATATTCGCAATATATAAAATTACAAAACTGTTGCAAAAATATGGAAAGGAAATATATATAAAATAAAAGTTAGATGAAAAATTATTTTATTTTTTATTAAATATTTTTATATATTTTTATTTCTTTTTATTCATATTTTTATTTTTTTATTCACATTATTTTTTAAGATACAGATTGCAGTCTGTTAAAAACACTTATTTTCTTAAAATAATTCGTAAATTTATTAATGTCATCTTACTTTACACATTACATTACTTAATGTTTTATGTTTGTCAATTTCTTCGCAAATGAGCGAATATGAGAAATAGTTGCAAATACCGAATATACGGAGCGCGCGAATGAAGTTTCCGCTACATTTACACACTCGAAAATTTAATCCCATAAATTCCAACATAATACTAGAAGATGTAACATGTTTTAATCGCGCGATGGTGCTGATTATAACGACGATATGACACTTTTGCATGTAGGTTGCGTGTAATTATTATTCACGCGTATCTTGAGATTCAACTTCATATACACATACCGACTTCAATATACGTATATGAACGATGTTATCCGACTCGCTACTTCAGAGGGGATGCACAAAGTTCCTTGTAGAAATTCCATTTTCCGATACATTTCGGCGTCGCAAGAGTACCGCGTGTATACACATATGGATGCGTGTATTCCCCGGTGCGCTCCGGAATGAGAGAAGCAGGAGGGTCCGAGCATTGTCCCCTGGGGCGAGTCCTCGACTTTTGCCGGGGCGCCATACCCCGAGTGCCTTTATCATGCGACGTTACGTTCCGACCGTGCAGACGGGAAATTCCGGCCGAGTTCGTTGTCATAGGACGAGACAAATAGGCGGAGACACGACGTAGATACGACCGATCGTGGCAATACACTTGCGCTAAATATCGTCTGCGGAGTCAATTGAGATAGGGTAGTTTATCGATGTATACGCAGATACTTTTCTCGATAGGGTCATACTACTTCGCGAGAGACACATCGTCGCCGATTTACGACGCGACGCGATTCCATCGCTTGTGTTTCGAGCAAAATGCAAAATTGTGCCGCGCGATCGTACTAGTTCAATTTCGAAATTAATCGCTGTAGGGCCGCGTAACATTTAACCCCATTTTACGCGCGTGGGAGGATTTAATTAAAAATAAATTTAATATCGGTTAAATTTGTTCGATATTAAATTATAAATTTAATTATTAAAATTGGTTTTGGGCCTTTATCTCGCGAATTTATCGCGACATTTATTCAACAGGGAGTCATTACTTTATTTACTACTATCACGATACGGCTATACTTATTCGATCTATCTAATATGTCGTCATACGTGTACGTCTATAATATAATATTGGAGATAGTTTACGAGAGATATTTTAGGTAACATAAACCGAAGATGTCGATGTCGCTATTATATCTCCTGGCTAGTTTGATACTCGCAACTATGATCTTCGAAGTCGTTTTCTTGGCGTCGTATGAAATTGAACGAAGAATCCTCCAGGCGTCGAAATCCCTCGCGATGCAGCCAGTACAACGTATTTTATTTATATAAAATCGATTATTATTTTTCTATTCCGATTTAATTACATTACACTTTTCTCTGAGATATCACCTTGTGTGTGCGTGTATTTATATATTTTAATTAAAAATTATGCGAACGCACTTTCACTGCGCAATGTATATCCACACACGTGAAATTCTTCTCAGTAAATTCATCCAATTAAAGACTTTTGAAACTTCTACATGTGGTTTCAAGTTCAACTTCTTTAATTA